CCCCCCCCTCATGTTTATAGTCCTCAGGTATCTAAACTTCCTGTCTGTGATGTGTGCTGACTCTGCAGACTCTGCTGGTTTCTCCACAGACTCGGACGTCCTGCTGATCCCTCCTCCTGCTCCTCCTGGTCCTCCTGCTCTCACTCGGATGTTTCTGTAAAAAGAGGAGGTCCGTTTGTTTGTTTTGGACCGGAGCAGCAGCTGTTACAGAGCGACATCGAGCCTCGGCGCTCGGTGACCAGCTGGACGCCACGCCGCAGGAATCCCAAACGAGCCGGAGAGACGGAGAGGAAGCAGCAGATGTTCTCCATGATGAGTCTCCTCTGTCTGCCCTCAGGCTCGCTCGCTCGCTCTCGCTCTCTCTCTCTCTCTCTCTAATTAAAGCTACATTTCTTTAATTTAATCATCTTAAAATTTCTTTAATTTAAATAAATTTATATCAAATTAATTTAAATCAACTTTAATTTCTTTCATTGATAAAAAAATCCTGAGATTTCAAACACGAACACAAAGACAGTTTTACAGCTGACCTCTGACCTCTGACCTCTGCAGGGAGGCGTGTGAATGTGTCCGACCCACAAAGAGGAGGCGGAGCTTTACTGTCCACACGCACAGACCGCCAAAGTGAATTATGGGTAAAAAGTAACTGCAGTGAGAAGTTTTTTTGACTGAAAGATAAAAAGTCAGTTTGACTCTGGACCAGGAGAAGCTCAGGTTCACTCACGCGGTCTCTCACAGAGACCTGAACCTCTGAGAGGCTCCGCCCCCTTTTACACACGCTCATCCCGTCCTGGTTCTGGTCTGGACGGTCCTGCAGGGTCTCCGGAACAACCCCAGTACACACACAAACACACACACACACACACACACACTCCCCTGTCCTCGTTCGTCCCTCCTCTCTCAGCACGTGCCTCGGCATCACGCGCTCGCGCAGCCTCTGATCGGTTTGGATCGATTTTCTGCCTCTGATCGGTTTGGATCGATTTTCAGCCGCTCATGTTTGGGGAAGCAGGATACTTCTGCGCATGCGTCCGTAGGCGGGTTCTCCAAGCTGGTGAGGCGTTCTGGTTCTCTCTAAAAGCTCGGATTTATAAAACTCGGTCTGACTAAGAGAGACTTATTTTAACTTCAGTCACTTAAACAAAAATAATTCATGTTCAGGTTAATTTTAATAAAATAGAGTTTTTAAAACATGAATCTGTGATGAAGTTAAAGTTATCACCACAGCAGGAATTAAACCATCATCTTTACTTCACCTTTAAATACTCTGAGTCTCAAAACGACGGTGGCCCAGGAGTTCAAATACACAAACATTTATCTAACACTTTTAATTAATGCAGAAAAAAATCAATATTAAAAATATTTAATGGAACACAAACTAAACAGGAAATCTGATTTATTTTTTTTATAGTGTTTGTGTAAAAATACAAACATCTAGGGTTTTTATCTAATATAACTTTATGTTTTAATTTTTTTATTTCCGTCCATAAATATTTATCCATGTTAGTCCATTTGACCTTCAGGGCCACCGTAAAGAAAATCAGTTTATTTTAAATATCGTTCAAATGTTTGTCAGATTTAAAAACTAGATAAAAACATTAATTTATAAATCACTATTATGATGATGTCATATTCTGTTGGCATATTCTCTATAACTGTCCACCTTCATACTTCTATGTTGTTTTTATTTATTTTAATTGTGTTTCTAACTGTGTTTTCAATGCTCAGTACAGTGTCCTTGAGTGTCCAGAAAGGTGCTTTTAAATAAAATGTATTATTATTATTAAATACATTAAATTATAAATCACTATTATGATGTTAAATATAAATACATTAGTTTATAAATCACTATTATGATGTTACTTTAGTAAATCAGCTTCTTTAACAAAAATAAAAATATAAAAATACATATTTTTATATTTTTATTCCATAAAACGGTCTGATGGACAGAAGTTCTCCCGTGTCTGATATTCCTGACTGCTCTTGAACGCAGCACAGTTCACGCTCACCGCTGTCCCTGCACACACACACACACACACACACACTCACACTCACAGTCGGTACCTGGCAGGCGGAATGGACGTGTCCTCCGGAACCCCGAACTCCGTCCTCAGCCCAGCGAAGCCTCGGCAGAAACCAGGCCCGACATGACAACTCCGGACCGGGAGAAGAAAGCCCGCCCGCCCGCGCGGCTCCGCTCCCGGCCGGAGGACGCGGCGGCTGCGGCGGCGGCTGTGTGGGCTGCGGGTCGGTACGCCGTGCTGGCCGCCCTGTGCGCCCTCTGCTACGGGAACTCTCTCCACGGGGAGCTCGTGCACGACGATGTCTGGGCGATCATCAACAACCCGGACGTCCGACCCGGTTCGAGCCTGTCGAACCTGTTCAGGAACGACTTCTGGGGCAAGAAGATGGAGGACAACACGAGCCACAAGTCCTACAGACCTCTGTGTGTCCTCACCTTCAAGTAAGTTCAGAACCTCCCCTTTAACTGACGGGCCGA